CCCCACAGCCACCTCTTCTGTATATATATGCATATAAATATATAGATACATATATATATATATATCACCCCCCTGAGATGAATTCAGTCCTATTTCTTTGCATAGGGGCTTTATAGGGTTTAGGGCTTTTACCTACTCTTAAAAGGGGGAACAAAGGGAGTTTATAAGGTTTCGGATTTAGGGTTTATACCTACCCTTAAAAGGGGGACCATAGGGATTCTATAGGGTTTAGGGTTTAGGGTTTATACCTACCCTTAAAAGGGGGACCATAGGGGGGGATCATAGGGTTCTGAGAGGGATAAGCCATCGTCGGTAGAATGGTCTCGTGTTGTGACTATGTATAAACCGTAAACATATGGGGATTTCCCAGAATTGCCCCTGGAGGATTCTGAAGAGCGATCCCCATGTTACTTGTGTGTAATCCCGATCTATCGCAGGATATCCTACCATTTGAGCTGTAGTATAAACTGCCTGAAGGGGGTTTAGGGTCTACACTCCTTCAAGCGGGTTATATAGTGGAGTAGTATAGGGGTGCCAGGGGGGGATACTAGGAGTTTAGACTATGGCACATGTGGGGATTGCCCTAAAATCGTCATAATACGCGTCCCCATTGTAGGGCTCTTGTTGCAATAATTTCCCATTTTGGGAACATTAGTTCGGGCCAAGTTCCATGTGATTTTTCGCGGTGCCCTTCTGTACCTGACAATCCAACCCAGTAGTAGGCAGGTACTTGTTGAGATTTGGGGTCAGTCCAAGACAGAAGTGGCAGCAAACCAAACCCTAAACCTTAAATCCTGAACCCTGGGTTATCCTCGAGGCTCCGGTATTTCTTTCGGGCTGTAATTAAGCTTTAATTTAAGAGACAAAACAAGCCTTGCAGAATTTACTGCAGGTTTTCCTTAGATCTAAGCGCTGGGGCACAGAAGTCAGAGCCTTAGGAGGTTGAGTTGTTTGGGATTTGGTTGTTCATATGCGTTACATTGCAAGGCTTGTGGGGCATTTGATTATGCTTGGCTGTTGGGATAATCGGTGTCGTCGGCTTCCTTTGGGGCCCGATTGTAGGAGGGGGTCCGTACCACCATCACCCCGATGATCCGAGTGATCGTTGAAAATCCTGCGTGACCCAAAGTACCTTATACCCTCGGGGGTTTGGTCATTTTCTCTACGACTGTCATGCAGGATGTTTGTAGCATCAACAGCCTCAGTGGCATGCAAGCGCTTTCCAAGACTGGTTGGCGGCTCAGCGCCACGATCCGTTATTCAGCTAGTGCGGCCTAATTCTGTTCGATGCCTATTTAAGCAGCCAGGATACCTCAGATTGATCTAAAAATGACATGGGTACTGTAGTTGTTCAGGATACTCTCCATAAAGCTGCTATGTCACCCAAATTTCCATTTGATTATCTGTTTTCTTCTGCTGATTCTCCATGATTACCTTGAAACCCATGGAAAGTCCCTCAAGCCATCATCCCTATAAACCCTTCTAGAAGCCAAGTTGTTTAGGATTTAGGGTTTAGGGTTTAGGATGTTGGGTTTAGGCTTTGGGGTTTCGTTTAATGTTCCATGTTCTTGTCCTTTTGCTTCTCCATTACTGGGGCAATATCCCTGAACCATAAACCATTTCTTTCCCATAAACCTATATATATATATATACATACAGGTGTGTACCCTAAACCCTAAACCTTAAACCATATATGTATCCGTAGAATCCTTATAGCCTGGGCTTTTGTGCCATCCCAGGACACCTGCGTTATCTTGCCAGTTTAGTGTTTAAGGTTTAGGGCTTAGGGCGAGAGCAAGGGAATGCAACAGAACATGGGAAAACAACGATTCAGGCTTCAGGGCTTAATGAAAATGGAAAGAGTTATATCTAGATATAACTGTGGGTTATATAGTGACTACTACGAAGATCCATTCCTTCGTTCCTAACAAGAGGAAGTTATTGATGAATGGTTATGGCTTGAGTACTCCCCACTCATTAACAGCTGAATAATACTTATTGCGTGATTACGTATAGACCTAAATATGACCCTATTATAGACTGTTAATGGGTGGGGGCAGGGCAAGAAATGGCCGGAAGCAAAAGCCCTCGCCATGTTAGCTTCTTGGTACGTGTGGGCACCTAGTGAGTTGTATGAGGATATCTGTCTACACGGTTTAGGGTTTAGGGTTTAGGGTTTAGGGTTTAGGGTATTTTAGGCCTTGAGGGTTTAGGGTTCAGGCGCTTTGGCGAGGATTTGCAAAGTCGTGTGCAAGATATCGCGGTTTAGCGTTGGTGGTTCAAAGTCAAAGCCATGAAGAGTATAACGTGTTGCCTGAATGGTTGTCAGCTTGAGCAACAAAGGAGACTGGGTAACGCAACCACGCCTATAAGGATTCATGGTCATACCATGGAGGGGAGGGGGCGGACTGGGAACGCGCATCGCGTATGCGCATCCCCAAAAAATCAGACTCATATATCCCCACATATCCTTATATCCTTATACCCCTCTACATCAGTTTCAGGTGGCATGCTTACAACATGCTATTTGCGCGGCACTATCTTAGTGTATCAGAGGGGAAATCAGAGAGGAAGGCCTGGCCCTGTTATTTGGGGGTTTCCCAAAATTGGGGGTACCTTATTGGGAGTCCCCATAATAAGGATTATAGTATTTGTGGGTCTATATTGGGGTCCCCTTATTTTGGGAAACTACCATTTAGGGATCGAGTTGGCACCCTCTCTCCGCATGTAAAGCCTGGGTTTCGGGTTTAGGGCTTAGGATTTAGGGTGTTGGGCTTAGGGTTGTGGCTGAGGGATTTAGAGTTTAGGGGGCTACCAGGGCACAGACGAACTAAGATTTTTCAACCTGCAGCACGAAGGCGATACGTGCCTTGGCTTTTGGCCCCAGTAGCTGGATTCATACGGGAAATTAATACACCGGGAGCACCGTTGCTTTTTGCGAGCGCGTTTGTCCAAAAAAGCGGGGACCCC